TCTCAAATACATTCCTAAATGCAGATATTCCCAAAACTCGCCAGTATTTGTTACTTCCCCCTCTTGTAGTGCTAGCTTTCATAAATGACTGTCTTATATGGAAAAAAAAATCCTTTCTAAGTCATGCCAAGAGTGCACTGATACTCCTAAATAGCTTGAATGCATCTGACTAAACCACAAAAAGCACTGATGGATGTACTCCTTTGGTTATGTGCAAGAACATCAGAAATCTATCTTCAGTAAATAAATGTGTGTGTGTGTAAAGTGCTATCAAGTTCCAGCTGACTTATGACAACCCCTTAGGGTTCCCAAGGCAAGAGACTAACAGAGGTACCTTCCTCTGCATAGTAACCCTGGAATTCTTTGGTAGTCTCCCATACAAATACTAACTAGGGTCAACCCCTGCTTAGCTTTCGAGATCTGATCAGACTGGGCTAGCTCGGGCCATGCAGCTCAGGGCAGTAAATAATAAATAAATAAATAAGGATGGCTCCTTTTAAAAGCAGCAGATATTACACCATTCTGAGGTTGAGTTCAGACCGGCAGTTAGAAGCAGGAGGGAGTCGTGGCAAAAAAGACCTGGAACAAACTGCTCCGGGTTTTCCTGTTCACACCGCAGCAACTGATGCAGGAGGAGGCGCAAGGGAGCGTTCACACCGTTGGCCCGGAGGCACAGCTGTAAGGTGCGGCTTCCTTTTTTGTAATCTGGAGATATGCGCTTATGCGCATGAGCGCATAAGAAAAATGCGGCTTTTGCCGTTCACACTTTGTTGGTGCGAGATGGACATGGGGTAATTGCGCTTTCCAGGGTTTGCTACCACTTTCACTAGGTATCTTTTAAACTCGGGAGCGAAGCATTAGAAGACGGGTTGAGTACGGGTGGGGAACGCCTGACAGATGTGCCTGTGTGAACGGCACATTTAATCCAGTTGTGGAACGTTTCTGAAACGCGTGTATATTGGAGCAAACTGCCAGTCTGAACTCAGCCTGGGAATGCCTTTTCTACACCATAATTACAGTTAGTAAGCTATGAGATCCACCCACCTCAAGGAAGAAATTAACCAAGTATGGATCCTGTTTCAGCTTTGCACACACTATGCAAAGAAACTGTATTTCTTCATTTTCTGTAGGTGCAGCTAAGACTTCACCGCAAAGTCTGATTAATTTCTGTCGAAAGAAACAACCAATAGTCAAAACTAAAACACAAAGGAAAAACTCTTACTTGTGGGTCTATTGTCAAATTTTGCTTTCAAAAAAGTATAACACTGGATACAATTATGTTTTAAAAATAGCAAGACTGAAACATTTCATCGAAAACACAAGAAGTAATTAAAAATCAGATCAGTACCTGCACAGGTCTGTGCACATTTATATGTGGAAGAAGAGGCTGCTGTATTCTTCCCAGAAGTTTTGTATAAAAAGAAAGAACCTGCTGCTTCATGCCTGGAGGACACTAAAAAGAACAACAGATACACAAGAAGCATCAAATTAAAAAAATGTAAAAACTGGTAAACAAATGCAACAGCGACTCTAAGAACATTGACTTAGCAACGTCAAATATAACTGACATCTGACTGGTTTTAAAATAAAGACAACTGATGCAAAGCTATGCTGTCGAAGGCTTTCACAGCCAGAGTTCATTAGTTGCTGTAGATTTTCCGGGTTGTGTGGCCGTGGTCTTGGCACTGTAGAACCTGACGTTTCGCCAGTAGCTGTGACTGGCATCCTCAGAGGTATAACACAGAAAGATGGAATACTCTCTGTGTCAAGGTGAGAAGAAAAATGGTAGGCAGGTAATTTATATCTACTCTTCTACCCTGAATAAACTTTTGTTGGTCTTAAAGGTGTCACTGGACTCAAACTTTGTTCAGCTCTCGTAAATGTATATTATGAAATGCACATCAGCGTTTTGATTTCATTAAGGCCCATGCACAAAGAGTTTCTTTTTACTCAGGAATGGCTAATTTTTATTTCTGGCAGCAGCCCCTTGTGCCTCATAGGGTGCTCACACAGAAGGCCCCCAGTCTTCAGGACAACATGCTGAAAAGGCCCCAGGCATGCAGCATCACACAAAGTACTTTCAATCCCAAGTGTTCTCTTTACTACGTTTTGGGATCGGGGGTTCCATGCCCTGGATCCAAAGGTAAATTTCCACCAACAGAAAGGGGGGGGGGGTTGACCCTTGATGACCGCCCTCTGATTGCAGACCCACAATTTGCACTTATGCTGTTCCCAAGGGTCTATTTTCCTTAAGGAGCCGCATTTCAGGGAACTCAATGAACAGCAAAGGGGGAGGCAAGAAAGTTCTGATCTGCTGGTGACTAATCCTATGCATCCAATCCTATGTTTGCTGGATGCTGACCTCCTTCTGAGAATATTCTGCCATTATTATCTTAAAAGTAGTTTTCATCAGTTTGAAATCAGTAGACATGGAGAACAGCCAAGTTTCTCTTCTTCTACCTTCTAGTAGCACGACTTGCAAAGAAAACAAGGGGTTACACGCCACAAGCCTCCTTAACATGGCCGAGAAGGATCAAGTGCTAAGGTAACACAGGCTCTGTAACAGGATTGCATACTGATTTGCAAAACTAATATCACCATGCACTTTTTTCTTTTCTCACTGCCTTTGCTCTGCAAGACTAAGAAATACTGACAGCTAAAGTGTTTGCGCTTCTAGGTAATATCTCCAGACTACTTCCCCCCACTGCCTGAAGAAGGGTTGTCATGCTCAGACCAACAACCTGCTAATTTGTGCTGCAGTCACACACACTAAATAATCCACTTTCAATGCCCTTTCCAACTGTGTGAACTGGCAAAATCCAATTTGAAAGTGCACTGAAAGTGGATTCTTTAGTGCGTGTGACTGCAGCCTTGGATAGTTAAAACTGTGTGGGTTAGAACCGAATGGCAAACAATCTCAGCTACAAAATCTAGTAATTTCTGCAGAATTCTGTAGATCACCACTTTCTAGACCTTGTGTGTAAGGAGAAAGATCTGATAACATACTACAGTTTCTGAAAATGGATTAGAAAAAACCCACAGGTGCAACCAAATACCAGGGATCAGAGATTAAAACATTTTGTATTCAGCACAACTCCCAGAACCTTCATAGGGCACTCAGTCACTCTCACCATGACTTTATATTTTCCCATGGGTAGCCGGGTAGTAGCAGCACAAAATGTGAGTGCAGTAGCACCTTAGAGACCCAACAAAATTTTCCAGGGTGTAAGCTTCCCTGAAGGCAATGGCCAACCACCTCTGCTTTTCACTTGGCTTGAAAGCCCCTTGCTGTGGTCATCATGAGTCGGCTGCGACTTGGTGGCACTGTACACACACACACAAGCTTTCCTGAATCAAAGCTCATTTTATCAGATACATCTCTGTTTGAGAAAGTAAGCTTTGACTCACAAATGTTTATATTCTGGAAATTTTAGTTGGTCTATAACAGGGCTCCCCAATCCCTTTCAGCCTTTGGACACCACTGGAATTAGAACACAGGGTTGTGGGTGCAACCACAAAACAGCTGCCACAGGAGGTGGAGCCGGCTACAAAATGGCTGCTGCAGGAGGTGAAGCCAACCATACGGAGGAGGCTCAAGTGTAAGGGAGGAGGGGGTGACTTAGAAATACAGTGGAAAAGAGGAACAAGAGAGAATATTTTTATTATTTATTAATTCAATTTATAGACCACCCTCTGCAAGACGTAGGGCTCAGGACAGTGAACAACATTTCAGTAAATTACAATCCAATCAATGAGCAGTTAAGATTACAAAAAAAAATCCAATAACTATTATCAGATGGTGCTTAAAACCAATTCCTATCCTTACCTCAAAAGGGAAGCAAGAGGAGGAGAGAAACAGGGAGGGGCCAGGCACGATGGGAACTGTTGCTATCCTCAAGCATAGGCCTGGCGGAACATCTCTGTCTTACAGGCCCTGTGGAATTGTACCAAGCCCCAAAGGGCATGGATGTCATTCAGCAGAGAGTTCCACCAGGCTGGCCCCAGGGCCAAAAAGAACCCTGGCTCTGGTTGAGGACAGCAGGATATCTTTTGGGCCAGGTATCACCAGGCGGTTCTTCTCTCCATAGCGTAATGCCCTCCTGGGGGTGTACCGGGATAGGCGGTCCCATAGATAGGTTGGCCCCAGACCATTTCAGGCCAACAGTGTGGTGGCAGCTGCCACTGAAACAATGTTGTTTTAATCTGCCCAGCCAATCGGATCTCCAGTGACCAACCAGAAGCCATGCTGGGCAAGTGTCATACCTGGCCCCACCTCCTTTCTCAAAACATGGGGTGGGTGCCAGGAAAGGTGTTGTTGGGCACCATGGTGCCCACAATCACCACACTAGGGATCCCTATCTATAATGTACTACTGGACTTGAATCATTGTCTTTATACACTCCCATTCTAACCACCACATCTTCACTAGTCCTAACACACACTCTCCTTTTCTCTCTCTCAGTGAGCCTGGAAAAATAGGAGAATTCCACAACCTGAAGTACACATTTAAGCTCAGTCACAGATTTTTGGGCTTGGGTAATATGACATACTTACGTCAGCCTTGCCCAGGGTATATAATGTCTCCAAAATCTTGTGATGTAGCAAATATTCCATGCAAGGCCCTGTTTCCCCAGACTCCCTCTCACTTTCTTCCTGAACTAAAATATCCAGCATCTGCTCCAGGTGAGATGGAATGTTGGTATCAGTCACAGGAGCTTTGTCATCTACAGAAAGAGAGCCCATTAAGAATACAGCCTTCACTTTCAGTTCGATATCTGTATTCATACAATCAAATATATTTTTGTCATTCTGTTTCGATTTCTCCTATTGTAGGATTAATAGGAAGAGGCAAATTTTAAAAAAATATAATTTGTTTCACCTAAACTATGAAATAAGCATGCATACATGGAGCTGCGCTGAAGGGGGGAAATAATGCTGTTTCAGAGGTCCTATATGCACAAAGGGGGGGAAACTACAATCCTGTAGTCAGTACCCAGCAACAATAACGGTCTAAAACAACAGAAATAATATGACTGTTTTTAAATCACTGATGAAAACTACTGCTTGAGAATAAAATCAGCTGCACGCTTCCCACGTCATTTACATTTTGCACAGTGCTTTCCTGAGGTTAAATCCCAGAATAAAACCCAGTTAATTTAGCTGAGAAGGGAAATAAAAAGCATTTTTTGAATGTTATACTGAAGTAAGTTGAGATCACTGAAGTCAATGAACTCTATCCTGCATGAATTTGCACAGTAGGCTGAATGCAGCAGTCATGTAACTTTATATGAAGAATCTTGAAGTAATTTTCACTGCCATGCTGCAAGCACTGTAAATAATCTAATGGCAAGTTTGCTGATCCCTCTTATGCAACTGTCTACAAATAACTGCTATTTGAACACAAAGAGGAATAAGGTCAGAGGAATGAATTGCAACACCCAAAGACTACCGAACTCTAGACTGGCACCACTTGAACATGCATAGGGGGGAGGGGCTGTGATCAGTGTTCCCTCTAAGCTGAGTTAGTGTGAGCTAGCTCACAGTTTTTTGGCCTCCAGCTCATAGATTTTTGTCTTAGCTCAGGAAGGATGGCTCCAGAGCAAACTAATGTATGCAGTAGCCAAATGGCTCGCTCACAAATTTAATGACAGTGGCTCACAAAGCAGAATTTTTGCTCACAAGACTCCACAGCTTAGAGGGAACATTGGCTGTGATGTGTCATACACAAGGCCCAATGATTTTATTATTTCCCAGATCATTTCATAGGTGACACACAACAAAGCAGCTCCTATTTGATGAAGAGGCAATGAAATTTCTCTTACCAGAAGTCTCTATGTAGTAATGGGTAATAGCCTTCCAGTGGTAAACAAAATCTTCTTGCAGTGGAAGGGATGGCGCAAGCTACAGACACAAGAAGAAATAGGAGGCACATATTTTTTAAAAGTGTAAACATTTTGTAAGAAATACACAACAATATTTATTAAAGTTTCAGATCATAAGCAAAGAAGAATATAACTGGAACAGAACCCTTGACTAAGATCCACTGCAATACTGGAGATTTTTCTGCTGTAGCCAAATATAGGAACTCTGTATACTGTGAGGTCTTGAGCATGGCCACTAGCCTTAAGCATTCCTCAGTTCATTCAACAGACTAAGATGAAGCAATAATCAATCACCCATCCCCAACCCATCTTTATTTTATGACAGTCATGAACTGGGGCCAGATATATTTCAGGCTCCCTTAAGCTATCAGTAAGACACAGACACAGAAGGTTATATTCCATATTCAGAACACTGAAGGATTGTGATATTAAGCACACACCTTGATACAGTCACATAATCCTATTTGCTATTATGTATATAGCAGGACCAATCCTAAACTGGTCTACTCAGATGCAAGTTTCATGTTATTCAATGCAGCTTATTCCCAGGAGAATATCGTTACAACTGCAGCCAGTGTGAATAACAATCATATGAACACAAGAACAAGGCTATGTTAAGTAGAAAGTAAATGTGTGTGCTAGTAAGTAGTTTGCACTTGACAAGTACGCATGTGTGATGGACTGCAGTTTTAAGCTTCGATGTGCTATACAAACAGTTAAAGGACTGAGAGCCTTGAGTGACAGGCTGCTCCAAGGAATATGATTGTTTAGCATCAGCTGAGCAGAGGAAAACGTCTGAATTGGATGCTGAGGAGATTCAGTCAGTTTAGTTCCTTGACTGAGTTTGAGTATTGACAGTCTGGTTTCAGCCCTGCCTAAGAGCAGTTTAACACAGACAGGAGAACTGGGGAAAGCTGGCACGGACGAGTGGGTAGTTAGATGGAGACCCCCATTTGGGCCAAAGAAAGGGGATAGGTATTCTAGTGAGAGGAGACAGTCAAACAGGTAGTTCTGAAGAGTACAGATATTTCTGGTCTGGTGTGATTAGAAACTGCCATTAGAGACCTTAAGAGTAAGTTAAAAACTCAATATGAGTACTGGTGTTTCAAGAGAAGGGGTTTGGGTACTGGAAAGAGTTACCATCCTTCTGGAAACCAAAAGAGTTAGATAATACTCAAAGAAAGTATACTTGAGTGTTTGGGAAAACACTGGAACAAAAGCCTCTCAACATAAAGCTTTTAAGTAACTGTGAAAAGCTTAAGAAACTTTCATTAGCCTGAAACATAAGAACTGAAGTCTGTGTATGTACTGATTTTACCTTGGAGTTATCTATACTGAGTTACCACAGAAATTCTACCCCTGATTTCACCTGACTTTTCCCCTTTATGTTAAATAAAAATTTTGTTAACTTGGAATACAAAAACGTCTCAAGCACCATTTAAGTCATATACGTTAAAGGGGACTCCCATTCCTTCCCTCAGGTTTATGGGCTGAGGAAACAGCCAAAATATTATGCTGGGACAGCCAGATCTCTTCAGGAACAGGCCCATAGCTATGGTGGGGCCCCTCAGGGCCCAGCCCCATCACGCACCAGCCAGGCCTCAGCAGGCCTTACTGCAAGAAACATTTTTAAATTAATTTTAATTATTTTTAATCTTTCCGTAAAGTCGTGCTGCGCTGCACCCTGCCCACTTCCTGATTTGCTGGCTTTTCTTGATTTGGTGCTAACCCTACACGTGACCTTGCCAGCTCTCCCCCCCACCTGCTCTCTCTCTCCGCCCACCCTGTGTATTTCCCATGGTAGTCTGCCACAACTCTTCATCTTCTTCAGTTAAAAGTGTGGCTGATCCTTGAAACCTGGTAGGCACAGACTCGGCCCAGGGGGGTGTCAGACTTGTTGTGGGGTGGGAAGAGCCTCTTAAACTTGCAGGAACTGAAAAAGGAAGCATTCCTAACAAAAGTGTGTGGGGAGGAGGGGTTAAACTGGATGGGATGGCAACAGCCAGAGGGAAGCACTTGGAAAATCCAGTCACGTTCTGTGCAAAAGCAGGGCTTTGAATCAGTGGTTCATAAGGACAACCAATTTGGAGTCATTCTCGTGCAATGATAAATTCAAAAGTAACCCCCCCTGGTGTTCAGTGGGGCTTCATTCTTGGTCCGTTTGCAGAGGAATTGCTGCTTCGACCAGGGGCAGGTACATTTGCATATAGCATTGCCAGCTGGCGATTCCCTGGGATTACAACTATAATCAGTTCCCCTGGGGAGGAAATGGCTGCTTTGGAAGGTGGGCTCTATGGCATTACACCCCATTGAAGTCCCTCCTTTCCCCATCATTTCCAAAATAAGCAGAGGGGTTTTAGAGATAAGCAAGCAACACCCTAGCCATATGGGGAGCCAGCATAGTCTCGTGGTTAAAGTCTAGGACTAGGATCCGGGTAAACCCAGGTTTGAATCCTCACTCGTGTCATGGAAACTTGCTAGCACTATCAGTCTAACCTCCCTCACAGGGTTGTTGTGAGAACAACATGGAGGAAATGAGAACAATGTAAGCTGCTTTGGGTCCACCTAGGGAGAGAAGCAGAGTAGTGATGAAGTAATATTTAAAGGCAATAACTGAAGAATAAGTATAAGCATGACAGTTTTGTATAGTTGCGTACACATAATGGCTGCCCCACCAGGGGGGAAAATGCCCCACAATATCCTGGCTATGGGCCTCTTCAGGAAAGAAGAAAACAGACAGCTAGGGCAGCTCAGTGACAAGGGGGGGGGATCTTGCCTCTGAGGGAGGGCAGTCAGTTAAAAACTCAAGATGAGTACTTGCCTCTGAGGGAGGGTAGTGGACGGGACCATCACAGATGACATTTCCCCTTTCATACTTTAGCAACCCTCAGGGCAGGGTACATTTCCAATGGTAGCCAGGAATGGCTTACAAAGTAGCCGTCCCTAGGTGTGTAGCTCCTTTCCATGCCAGTGATCATCAGAAATATACGGCACTGGCACAAAAACTCCCCATACCATCAGGTATTACCACTGGGAAAAGCTATTTTCAAATATGCTCTTACATGGAAGCATTTCCCCACCAGTGCCACCAATGGTCTCCAAATGGCACCATAACATTACAATTGGCCCAAAATATTCCTTTCTAGGTGACAATGAATAAATTAAGGCCAAGGGATATAATTTTGTGTCAGACTTTTACTGGAGTTGTTGCTGGACCACAAAAGCTGCTATTACTACAGATCAAGTTTGCTGCCATGCACACTCAGCTTCAGTAGTTCCCCTGCCCCCCTTAGGAAGGGCTGAAAACAACTGCTTGTGGGATAAAGAGCTTGTTTTTTTCCAAAGGTGGCTCACTGGACAGAGGACATTAAACAGTGACCCTTGACAGATGCAGTTTTATTCTGGGCATGTATTCAGTCATCCATCCTTCTAGGTGAACTCAAGATTCATAAAATGTGTCAGGATGGCAACTTCCTTTCCAAGCTGAAGCAGTCCTTCATCTAAAGACGGCAGGCCTGCTTGACCCTGATCTTTCATATGCAACCTCAGCTTTGAAAGACTGTCACCATTTTCCTGAAAAAGGTTCTGTGATTTTTACTAAGTGTCTGGCAGATAAAATTCAGCTGCTGCAGGTTTTCCTATCATCATATCTCCATGGTGCAGAGAAGTGTGCCTGTTTAGTTTCTGCATGTTTTACACAATTAAAAATATGGGGGATGGACTTTTTTTATTCTTAGTGGTTAGAAAAGCAATTTGGGACCAAAATCCAGGAACTTTTCTTTCAATGGGACTCTTGAATTAAAAACTGTGTTAAAGGTTGCAAGATCAGTAATGATAAATGTAAAAAACAGAAGAAAAGCAGGACCATCTTAACCCAGTGGCAGGACCATCTTATCTTGAAACTTTCGGAAAAGGAGGTTCTATTCCATGAAGATTTTAATCTGTTCTCTATACAGCTACCCCAATGCAATTAACTCTAGGCATGGAGGCCTGAATTGAACACCCTCATAAAAAGTTCTCTACTGCAGGGAGACAAGTAATTTTTCAAAGAAACACTTGCCCACCTGTAGCAAGGATCACCAATACTAGTAATAATAATCTTCTGTTAAACAATGTATGTTCCTTAGGGGTCAAAAGTTTAGCTTATTGTGTTTTGTGCTACTGGTACTAGCGCTCCTATTTCTCACCATATTTTCTTCACATCATTAAAAAGCCAAAAGAATTTAGTGTCTGATCTTGTATCAGACAGTCTTTCCTCATAAACTTGGCACATGCCTCATTTGATGTTATGTGCCAACATCTGGCTTCCCTGAGAATACAGCATCAGAAATCTTCATTGCAGTCTACAGAATTACCAGGGAAGCATAGTTGTAAATTTATGTATATGAAACCAAAGTGTTGGAGTAGCAATACTATTCTCTGAAAGACAGGGAGGAATTTCAGACAGACGATATAATCCGGAAGAGGAACGGTTCCCAAATGGTTTCTGGTCTGTAATTTCAGACAGAACTGTTTTAGAACTGGTTCCGTACCGGAATATATTTGTAATTTCACACACAAAAGCTTCTGTCCTGTTTAAGAAATGGGGCTGAAGCGTCTTACCTGTCAACTGCTTCCAAGTAGTCTTCAGTTTCCTCTCCCAGTTCTGATGCACTTTTTCTCGCCGTTTTTCGCCCGCGCAGGCGATCTCCGGCTTTTTTGTGTGTGGAACGTTTGCTTTATAGTGCTATAATGCTACAATGCAACAGCATTATATCAACCCCATTGGAATGCCTGGAGTGTTGTGTTATAGCACTATAGCGCTCTAAAGCGAACTTTTTTAAAAAAAAGCCGGAGATCGCCCGCGCGGGCGAAAAGGTGGTGCAGTCTGAAATGGCAAACCGCTTCAGATACAGCTCTTTACCGGAAGGGGAAAGCCATGTGTGAAATGGCAGCCCTATACCGCTTTACTCCACGACAGACCAAAAACGGCTTCAAAACGGGTTAAAAGGGGTAATGTGAAATTCCTCAATGTCTCTTAAAGAAGGTCAATTCTTACAGTATTTGGGGCTAGCAGAAGCTGCACAAGAATTTAAGTTATGAATTGCTTAGCCCCAAACCTCAACACATTTCCTTAGACCTAAAGCCTACAGATTTAATACCATCATACAAGTGCACTTACAATCACAAATACACCTCAGTGTACTATACTTCCTTAAAATTGTGTGTTTTTCTTGAATAAATAATAATGTGGGGCTCTTTTAAAAAAACTTATGCTGGTGTAGTATATTTTGCAAGATTCCGAGTTGCACAGAACTCCAACAGTCTGATCCTGCACAGAGTTAAGCCATATCTAAACCCACTAATTTCAGTGGAGTATGGCATGCTTAACTCTGCATGGGATCAAGCTGTAAGATCCCTTTATGCTTGTACCGCACCTCCCATTCTTTTAGCTAACATAGCCAGAGCTATGATGATCTTCAGTCATCCTCATCTTTGGAACTAGGAAGAAATATAATATTCAGCGTAACATACAAGATATTTCTTTTTAACAACTTCTAAGAACAGATATCCAGCAGAGATTCTTTCCAACTATACGGTTAGATACCAGCACCCTTACTTTAGACTACACATGAAAATTTCAATAGTACAAAACTGGGAGGGGGGGGGGAAGCATACAAAATCGCAACCCAGCATTGTTTCTTAATCACAGTGCCAGGGTTCAGTAGCAGACTATGGTCTTTTTCACTGATCCTTGATTTTTAAAAAAGAGTCATAGTTTTTACTTACTTACTTAATTTGACTTCTAGCCCTCCCTCCCCCATAAGTAGGCTCAGGGCGGGTTACAACAATAAAATAAATAACATAATCCAATACTTAAAATACTATTAATATCATAATATCAATTTGATATCAATAATATCAAATTGGTATATCAACAATGACAGTCAATGGCACCATTTAATCAATCAATCTCCATCTGTTCCCGCATAGGCGCCCCAGGTGAGAGCAGGTGTATGACAATGGATACTGGGGGACAGGCAGACAAAGGACAATACAGATGGAGCAATGCAGGGGAGGCCAATATAAATGCATCTCCGCCACCTCAGCCATAGGCTTGGCAGAACATCTCCATTTTACAGGCTCTGTGGAACTGCATTAAGTCTTGCAAGGCCCAGATCTCAGTAGGGAGAGTGTTCCACCAGGCTGGCTCTAGTTGAGGCTAAGTGAACATCTTTAGGGCTGGGGATCACCAGCTGATCTTGATCCACTGAGCATAATACTCTTCGGGGGACATACTGGGAGAGACAGTCCTGAAGGTATGCTGGTCCCAGGCTGCATAGGGTTTAAAAGGTTAAAGCCAAGACCTTGAACTTGACCCAGTATTCAACTGGGTTACTATATGATTTCACTTTTTGTGATGGTGGCAAAAGAATCCACTGCTATCAGATTCAGAGCTGTGCACTTTCATGTGCAGTCATGTACTAAGATGTTCAGGGCTTGTAGAATGTTTGTCAAATGGCACACTGTGCCATTTTCTGCTTTCAAGTTTTAAAGTATTTCACTGCATGCTGTCTAGCAATTACACAGCAACAGTAATTTATAATGTGTTTGCAAACTTACACTGTTCTAAGACCACTGACATAAATGGGTTTTGAAGGATGTAACTCTGCTCAGGATAGCACTGTCAGTCTCAAAAAACAAACAAACACCCAACACCTGGTTGATTTACTACACAATGACAAACCTGGGTTGGCCAACAAGTCTACACTCACAAAGGAGCTGCAGCCAGTCCCAGTTCATTGGTGGGTATACTCATGCAACATGTTTGCTGCATTCACCTTTTAGATTTTAAGTTATATGATACCTAAAAGTGCATAGAAAGTATGAATTAGAACAAAGAGCTCTGATGCTAAGGAACTAGCATGGGGTAAGATGTCATATAAACTAGGATTTACAACTGCTTATTTCAATCTAGAAAGATGTGGATGGTGGCTATAGCACAGGCCTATCCTGAATTAAGTGGCTTTCAAAGTTGTAGAGAAGCAAGGAAATTATTGGAGGCTTCATCTTCAGAGTGGCTCATTGTGCTTATGCAAGAATGTGTTCAATAAAATTAAAGGGCAATGCAACTGGTTCAGAGGCAAGCCCTATGTTGCAGCATATAATCAACCTTTGGAATTCTTTGCCACAGGTCACAGAATTAGCTAGAGTAACCTGGATATTTTATGGAAGGTAAAACAACAACTGTAATGAATTTTAGCCCCCCGAAGTGTAAACAGGCTTGCACATGAAGTACCTCCTATTCCATTACACAGGTTCAAATGGCTTGAAACATTATTTAAAAACAGCAACAACCACCTCTGCTTACGGGAGGGATAAGCCTCGCAGGTATCTAACTCACTGCCCAGTTGACAGGACTGTCATCATGCATCACTGACAGAAGAAAAGTCTACTCCACTCTGAAGCTTCTTAACGGCACAGAGCGTGGGAGTAGACTGTGGTGACAAGAGGAATCAACACAAGCCCAGAGACACTTGCTTTATTACCCTAGGTAATTTTTCCTAGATGGCTCTATGAAAGCACAGGTGCAGACACAGGAAGTATCTAGCTATGAGGGGGAGCTACTTGGCTAGAATACTACTGGAAGAGTAAAGTGGTGAGGCTAAGATGTTGCTTGAGCAGGGCGAAAGGTCTTCCTGCTCTTGTCCAGGGAAATATGTCCACGAGGATAGGTGGTTAATCGGGTCCTTATTTTAGATCTCTCTCCAAAACGGAAAGGGACGACGTTATTGTTTATGGATCTATGAAAGAAGTCAATCAGGGCCACGTAATCCAGCCTAATCAGGAACGGCAACGAAGGGGTACAGGAGAAGCCCTGTCATGAGCTCAGCAGCCCAGACGCAATCCACCCTTTCACCCTTCGTCTGGAAACGAGCTTTTCTGCGGCAAATTAAGGGTGTCGGGGTGAGGCTGGGCTGCGTGACGCCTGGGGGGCCCCCGGCAGTCCAAGCGAGGGCCTCAACTGCGCGTTCCCTAGATTAGGCCCCTAAGGATCCCCGGATTTGCGTGGTGTGCGCCGCCGGTGGCCTTACCGCCTCCACGGCGTGCTGCAGAATGGAGGTGAACTTGGAGAACATCCTGTCCCTAGACTGAAGCAGCCGCTGCCGGGAGGATCGCGAGAGCTCCTCGATCCGCCGCCGCCGCTCCAGGGTGAGGGCTGCATACGGTGGGCCTGGCCGCGGGGGGGGGATCGGATCAGATCGGCTACCGGAGCAGGTCGGGCTGAGAGGCTCCTCCGCTGCGTCGCTCGCTCTCTTCGTCTCCTTCTTCCCCAAAGCAGCGGCGAGCGACACCGTGGCACTGACAGAGTCCGACACCCGGCCGGGCCGCAGCGCCCGGAAGCCGAGCGCCTTCCCCCGACGCCGCTGCTCCGTCTCTGCCCTCCCTCCCCCCGACCCGGTCTGCGGCGGCCGCAATTTCTGCAGTTCCCGCTGCAAATACCTTCCTCGGATACAAGCCCAGACAGCCTCCCGCCCCTTAGGGGAAGAAGGCAGGAAGAAGCCCCTGCGAGCTGGAGTGCGCTTCTTCAGGCGGAGATCCCCTCACGGAGTTCGGTGGTTCGTACAAGGAAGGGATCCCCATCCACGCAGCCACCCAGGACCCCAACCGCGCCGACATCATACCGGCAGGCCTTTGTTTCCTTCGTTCCACACAGGTTACATCCCCCTATTGTCTGCCCTGGGCACGATTGTCACTGAACCTTTATGCTGCTGCGGTAGTTAATCTGGAATACCTAATGCTACTGGATTCTTTATACATCATCACTCACTTGGACCGAAATTCCCTCTTAATTTTTGTAGAATGGAATAGCCACCATTTTAATAGTACTTAATATTTTTGTAATTCTGAGCATGGCAGGATGACTAGAGAGTGTCTACTTTGTAACTACTTTGGATAAAGTTGAAATCCCAGAAATGTCTAGGTAAATAAATGGCTGAAAAAACAGATATCAGATTACGGTTGTTTTCTTAAGTGTTTTAGCTTTAGTCTTCAACAGTTGCAGATCTTTTGTGAAGTGATAAGACCAAAATCTCTGTTACAATAAAGATCATTTCCTCCAGATGAAATGGCAGTTTAGGAGTGCAGACATCACATCCCTGCTGAGCTGAGCTCCTTTCCCTCCGAAGGCACCGCCTTGCCTCCAATTCTCCAGGAATCTCCCAAACTGGTATTGGCAATCCTATTTGTTTGGTGTCTTCAGGCCCCTAAAGGCATAGTATTCACTTCATACAAATGCACCACCCACATCTACCTTTAAACCAGAGAAAATGGGATTCATTTCCCCCAAGAAATTAAAAGAAAATGGCCAGGCAGACAAATATCTGCAGTCTTCCTGGGTTCACACAGGGGAAAGTTCTTGATTCTTCTCTCATTCTCCATGGTTTTGCTCCGTTGCTGTCTGCTAACATTTGTTATACATTCCAGGTTGGTTCAGATGTAATGCAAAAGTATGGTTTAAGTTTAATAAATGATTTTTGCATTACATCTGAACTGACCCAGAATACATACTCAGTAGCTAAACTGATTGTCCAAACTCATTACCAACTAGCTACAGCATGGCCTAAATGGGTTGGAACACTTTCCCTATGAGGAAAGGTTAAGGCGCTTAGGGCTCTTTAGCTTGGAGAAACGACGACTGAGGGGTGACATGATTGAGGTTTATAAGATTATGCATGGGAAAGAGCAGGTAGAGAAAGGGTTACTTTTCTCCCTTTCTCACAATACAAGAACTCGTGGGCACTCCATGAAATTGCTGAGCGGTCGGGTTAGAACAGATAAAAGGAAGTACTTCTTCACCCAAAGAGTGATTAACACTTGGAATTCACTGCCACAGGAAGTGGTGGCGGCTACAAGCATGGACGGCTTCAAAAGGGAATTAGATAAGCATATGGAGCAGAGGTCCATCAGTGGCTATTAGCCACAAGGTATAGATAGGGACTCTGGGGCAAGTGATGCTCTGTCATCTTGGTGCTTGGGGGAGTCAACAGTGGGATGGCTTCTAATGTCCTGGCCCCACTGGTGGACCTCCTGATGGCACTGGTATTTCTGGCCACTGTGTGATACAGAGTGTTGGACTGGATGGGCCTTTGGCCTGATCCAACATTGGCATCTCTTATGTTCTTATGTTCTTATGATTCCTCTGAGTAAGACCTCCACATTCAGAGGCAATAAAGCAGTGCCAGAAGGAATATCAAGGGAATGCCTTGTCCTCTATGTCCTGTTGTTGGCCCTCCAGGTAACTGGTTGGCGACTATGAGACAGGTTGCTGGACTAGATGGACCCCTGGTCTGATCCAGCAGGGCTCTTCTTACGTTCTTAAAACCTAAAGCTGATTTATTAACCACAGTTAATCTTAACTATGATGGTATGTTATTTGCAAACATAGGGCTGTTATGCACATATTTGTTCCACCTTGGCCTCCTTATGGCAGTGCTGCTTTCAGGAACATCCACATAACATCAGCCTGTATTCATCCAGTTTCTACGTATTCTTCTGCTTTGCTGAGGGCTTTCCCAAACATGGTTTAGTGCATTTTTTTAAAACTGCAGTGCCTTTGGATGCTATGTGGGCAGGAAGTTGTGCATTTTTGCAGGTCCTACCCACATCAGGGCCTTTAAAAAAACAACAACAAGCATACAAGTGTCTAGTTCATTTCAATGCACTTACAAGGGGAAAGGTGCAGACTGTTCAATCTTGGTGCATTGCAGAGCTACAAAATTTTAAACCTATAACCTAAGGTTATAACCTTATAATGATACTTAGATTTTTAACAGGTTCCCTTGTTCCAAATGCTTAACAGTGATCCTTCCAGCAGCCCATCAAGGCAGGGACATTTTATTATCTCCACATTGCAGATGAGGGACTGAGAGCAAGAGATACATTGCCTTGCCTAATGCCAGCTATTGGGTATGTGGCGGAGGCAAAATTTGAACCAGAGACTTTTCAGATCACTGCCTGTTCTTGTAGATGCTATGCTGCATCAGTTCCCTAGGTCAGGCATGTCCAACTTCGAACAGGTAGTGATCTATTTTTTCCGGCCAAAAGTGCCGGTGATCTACCACCATGAAAATAAAGTTTCAAATTAGTTTCAAATTAGATTTTAACCCACTAAAGTTGGGTTTCTGCACCCTAGGCGAGGCTGCCTTGTGGCGCCCCCCTCAGATGCCAACCTCCCGGTGGGGCCTGGAGACCTCCCAGCTGCACAGCCTGGCCCGGAGCCCTTCGCACCCCCCCTCCTGGTGTCGGAGGAGAATCTGAGTCGCCGTCTTGCAGTAGGGCCTGGGAAGGGACCCCCTTCTTCTTCCTGGGGTGGGCAGCCAGTGAGCCTTGACGGGCTCTCTGGAGCTGGTGCCTTCTGGGCCCACCAACCCGCTCCCTCCCTGGTGAGGGGGTGGGGGGGAGCCTGCCAGGGGTGGGGGGGCAGGCTCAGCCCAGGGTCCCTCTTCTCCCTCCCCTGCCCCAGCCAGGGTGCTTCTCTTCCGGGCACCTGCAGCCAGCACAGCCTGGCCCGGAGAGCCCTTCGCCCCCCCTCCTGCACCCCTGGCAGCTGTGCCCCTCAAGGGGGTGCGGCGCACGCATGTGTGGCGGGGGCGTGGCTCCGGGTGGTGGGTTGCTGCGCCGCAGCTTCATGGTAGGCACCTCTCCCCCTCGTTTCCCTCCTCTGGCAAGGGGAGGCAGGAGCTACAGCAGCTTTTGCTGCTGCGGCCGAGCCAACTCGTCCTTTGGGGGTTCCCCCCAAATTCTATAATTAGATCCTCCCGTCTGCCTCTGCCCCTCCTCCTCCTCCTGTGCATTTTATTGTGGGGTTTTCTCCCGCTTTCCTGCCATCTTCATAGAAAGGGGTGGCCAAAAAATTAATAATAAACTCCCTGCACGTGCTCCTCACCAAGGAGAAAGTGAACTCCTTGGGGCTTGCCGCCTTCCTGCTTTCCCAGGTGGCTGCGTCGGGGCGCGGGAGCGAGCCGGAGAGGTGAGGCCCCTGCCTGGCAGGCAGATGGCGTGAGCTCCCTTTGGCGCTCCACTGCAGCGAGTGCGGAGGGCGCCGGAGCAGCGTGCAGGTGAGGAGGCGGCGGCCATGGCTGCTGAGAAGGGCTTGGGCATGCTTGGGCGCTGCGGGGAGGACACCTTTCCCCACCCCTTTCCCCCCTTGCCCCCGCCCCCTCTCCCTTTCCCCCTCAACCATCCCCGCTTCTGCTGCCACCCCCGCCACGCCCCCCAGCTGGCTCAGAGGGTGGCGGTGGCGAATCGGTGATGGGCGCAGCAGCCAGGGGACCAAAGCCGCTAGTAGCAGTGGCTTTGGGCAGGGACGGTTGGGGATTTTGGAGGGGGGGGCGGGCGGCAGGGCAGTTGGCGCCCTGTTCAGAGCTCCGCCCTAGGCTAGAGACTAGCTGGCCTAGTGATAGAGCCGGCCCTGCTGGTAAGCAAAATAAGCAAAAACAAAACAGAGAGACAAAGATCCAGAAAGAACTCCGAACATTTTTTATTTTTTATTGAGTTATAACAAAAAACCCCAAACACCTGTCCAGCAAACTAGGAGACCAAGTGGGGCTGGTGATCTACCTCTGACCCCTCCATCATCTACTGGTAGATCACGATCTACCTGTTGGACATACCTGCCCTAGATTATAAACATCTTTTTTCTCTTCAGCTTATGTTCTCTTCTGCTGTCTCCATTCTTGTGGTGAATGTTTCTTGTTAAACCCATTCTGCTCTATCTGCTACTTATTGGGTCCCTGTTGTTAGTCCATTTTCTCTGGAATTCTCTTCCTATAGATATTCATTTTGTAGTTTCTTTGTGTACATTTAAAGGAATTCTTATGTCTCATCTTTTTCTTCAGACTTTCTCTGTATTTTGTCCCTTTCATTTTTGTCCTCTTTTACTGGGCATTTAAACTTCCTTTCCCCTCCCATTCCTTTCTCTGCCCTTGTTGAATCTTTCAGAAGATGAGCATTAAGGCAGGACCTTTTGTATTTTTTCCAACTGTAAAGCATCTAGTTGTAAATTATATTATTTTAAAGAATCAGGGATGCTGGAAACTGACTGTTCTGTTTTATTAAATTAAAATGGTTCAAGGGTCACTCTTTTTTTGCCAGGTATGATTTCACTGGTGTGCCAAAGTAAAATTAAACAAAAGGGATATTTTGTGAAACTATGGTATCTGAAATAATAAGCATTTATTTTGTTTAGTTCTATGAAACTGTGAGCCTTCCTTTGATTTCCTTATTCAGTCTGTCACCAAATGATGTAGTCTCTCCAGGAACAGTATTGTCCTGTCTCCTCTTAGATAAAACTGGCTCTTGTTCTGCTGAACTAGAAGAACTGAAAAACCAAACACATTCCTACCTTACAACAGTGGATTAACAAACTCAAATAGTGTACTCTTGATAAGATTTTAGATTGTGTTTTAAGAACTGAGAACAATCAGACTCAAACTGATATGTTAGAAAAATGGTCTCTAATTTTAAACAAACTGTGGTCAGGGTTCGCGGAATATGCATTAATAGTATAAAATGTTTAACCTCTCCTAATAGATTTTACTAACTCCAAGTATTTATATGGGTCAGTTGAATGTTGTTAATTCTTGTATTCTATTGTATATAACTATCAAAAACAACCAAACACTCTATACTCAATATTGCAAAGCACGGTGCTGACATGTAAACTGGTAAAAACATGCATGTATATTTCAACACCTATGATGCTTTATATGCTTTGTAACTTTGCAATGTATCTTTCAGTAAAATATAAGAGGAGGAGGAGGAGAAAACTTCTCTCACCTGTTTCCTGGTCTTCTCCCCAAATGATTCA